CCCCCCCCTCCCCCCTCAACCCACTGGGCGTTGAAACTCGGCGGCGCCGGCTGCTGGAAACTATCAGCCCAGGGCACGATACGAGAATGAAGGCCCCCCGGCAGGTGAGTGGGCCCGGGGCATTGTTATGGCATTTCCCCCCCCCCGTTGAAGGTATCAAAACGCGCACCACGCCAGCCTTAAGGGCGCACCAAGTCTGCACGCGTATTCTCGTGCTGCGTGTGTGTTGCGTATGCTTGGCTTCGCTGAGGAGGTTCAAGGCAAGAATAAGCTTGGAATTACCTCGTACCGATTGGTCTTGCTTCGCGCACGCAGCCGTGTTGTTTTGCTCCCGTCAATCATCCCCCCCCCTCCTATTTTCCTCCCCCGCGATTTCCACCCAACTCTATGGTCTTTTGGCCTTTGTCGCCGAACAAGGCCGACTTCGAGATCACTCAGAAGGGCCAGGCATATACCCGGAAAAATATGTGGGGTAGCCCGATCACTGTTAGCGGTAATTTGATCCGGAAACAGGCAAGTTCCCGTCGCACGCGCAGTGCGTGACAATGCACCTTACGGTCTTGCCCTCTCTCGCTGAATTGTTTCACGACGTGAAGACACCGCAAAAGTTTCCAAGAGGAGCTCAACGCCTCGTTGCTGCAGCTCATGTTTCATCCCCTCTCTTCCGAAGGGGCGCTGCACATTTTGAGTTATTTCCCCCCCCCACCGTATTATCGTTTTTGTTTCGAGTGCGTTTGGTTTGTTCCGAACACCCACAAGGGTGTGTTTGGGTTGAAGGTGCATATTGGTGGCCTTTCCTTCTCCTATAGAACTGCATCTGCTTCACTACTTTCTTTGGCTGCTGTCGTTCGCTTTTTTTTTTGTCGTCTCCCCTCTTCCCCCTCCCGCCTTGCTGCCGGTGGCCGCTGAATGCCGCAACACCGCGACAAAGCAGCCGTGTCGTTCCTGCTTATCATCCTCGGGATCGCTGCCCTATGCATCGCGGCGGTCTACCTGAGGGCGTCTACTCTTCACGACAGAGAGATCAAGATATCGGTGAGCCTCGCACATGCTTAAGTGTGGTGTGACCACGCGTGCGTTCGGTGTTGCTTGCGGCAAGGCTTATGAATCTGGCAAAAATCGCTTGTTTTTTGTATTTTTTTTTACTTGTGTTTCGCCCATTTTTTCGTTTGTGCTTCAAAAAACTCTTTGAGAAAACGAAAACCCGAGACACAACAATATTCCATTCACTCTCTTTGTTGTTGTTATTGTTGCTTTTTGCTATTGTTGTTTGTCTTCAGGCCTACGAAGAGACCATCAGCGAGTGGACCGCCTTCCGGCCTACCTTCGCCCGCCTGTCGATCAACGTCACCGCCCACTTCGGGGTTGCCCCGGTGAACACCACCTCCCCGGGATTGGACCCGAATCCTCCCCCCCCCGGAACGCCGCTGGCCCTAGCGGTCTCGGAAGATGCAGATCCGATCCACGATGAGGAAGGAGACGCGGGAGGGCTACCGAACTACGTGCCTTTGAAGCTTGGTGAGCAAAGGGGCCGGGGGGCGCGTACTTTTGTTTTAGCGGTTAAACCGTTGGTCCGCGAGGGGTCGGAACTTCGGACCGATCACCGATGGCCAATCGCTCCTTCCTGCACGTTGCCAGAAGCGGCTCTCGAAAATGCTTTCCGTGCCCGATCTATCCTATCGATGTCGCTTGGGGCGGGATGTGAGCACTTGTAGAATGTGGGTCACATCGGCGGGGTTTGTTTGAATGATTGGATTTAACGCTCCGTAGAATGCGCCATCGCACCTCTGCCTAAGTCCCGACGACGTGTGTCCAGTTTTATAGCGAATCCGCGACCCCCCCCCCCCCCCCCCCCCCCCCCCCCCCCCCCCCCCCCCCCCCCCCCCCCCCCCCCCCCCCCCCCCCCCCCCCCCTTTTTTCGGTCTCTTTGCTGGGCCAACGGGAGAAGTGGAAACATTCACTCCCGGGAGGAGGGCGCATCTGTATGTTCGAGGAATCATAGCCCACCCACCCCCCCCCTTCACACACGGTTTGTGCGGCCGATGCTAATGAATGGTACACACACACGGTTTAGAGTGGTCGAGTTAAGTCGCGCCCTGCTTTTTTTCGAGCTTCACACGATGTGTTGTTTGATAATTTTACGCCACGGGCCTTGTGCCGGAAGTGCTCTTGTTCTACTTTTTGGTTTAACTACAAACCGTACTTCTTATTTCGTCGTGTCCTTTTATCGGCAACAAAAAATGCCCGAACCTATTTTCTGATTGGACACCTCCAACCTCCCGGGACGTGTGTGTGTGTGTGTATATATACACGTATGCTGCAACTGCGCAGAGAGGGGTGTGGCCCCACCGCCGTGGCGAACCGCTCGCCGCTTCCCTCCGCCACAAGAAAATTCTCAGGAAGATTCTCAGGAAGATTCTCAGGAAGGTTCCGAAGAAGTTCCCGACGAAGGTTCCGAAGAGGAAGGAGGTCAGCCGGCCAACGAGGACGGCGGCGATGCCGCGGGGGAGGCGAGAGACGACGAAGGACTAGTCACCTCCGGCACCGCCACAAGTAGCGGCGACGTGGGTGGCGGCGGTAGCGCCCGTAGCGGGGGGGGGGAGCGCCGGTGGCGGCGTCGACTGGAAAGCGGTGGCAGCGGACGAGAGAATGTGCGTACGGGTGATGAGTCCCCGGCAGCGGAGGCGGAGGCGCCGTGGCCTTTGTCCGACGTGGTGGCGGAAGGCGCTAGTGTTGGCGAAGGGGGCGAACAGCAGTCCCGTACCAGCGGCAGCGAAGGACGCCGTAGGGTCGACGCGCTAGGGGACGAAGAGGGGAATGTCGGAGAAGAGGAAGGGGGAGGGGAAGAAGACGACGGCCTAGCAGCGGCGGCGACGCTCCCCCCGGGTTTCATTCCCGAGGCGGCGTTCGACGACGCCCCCTCGGTGCGGTTCGTCTTCTCCGCGCGACTGGAGCCGGCGCCGACGTCTTCCAAGGGCGGCAAGAAGGGGTTCCAAGGAGGAGACGGAGGTGCTAACGGTGGCCGGGGGAGGCTGCTGCTGCTGCAGCCTGAAGAGGATGGGAAGGCGCGATGGCGGTGGCGGTGGCGCCGGCGACGGGAGACGGAGGACGGGCGTCGGAGGATGAAGAAGGCGCCGGCGGCAGCGGCCCCGGTGCTGGCGGAGATGGTGACCGAGTGGACGCCGCTGACCCGCATCAGAGAAGAGCACGCGCCGATGCCGGCCCCGGAGACGAAGTGCATGCAGGTTAGGTTATAGCTTCGGCGGGATATTTCGGGCTGCCTTCGCGAAGATATGAAGTTTTTCTACTTCTAAGTATGAAATGGTAAGGCAATGGGGGTTGCGTAGGCCGCAGCCCTTCCCGTACCGCCCGGGAATATCGCCGATTTTCGTACATCGTCTAGTATGTTTGAGAGAGAAAAAGCGAGAGAGAGAGAGAGAGGAAAATGAGACATAACGAAACTGCCGCCTGCCCCCCCCC